TGGTTTCTAACTAGTGGTCAAAATTGAACCTCACAAATAATTTCACAGTAGTGTAGTTATGTATTTATTCTTGCATGTTTTATATAGTATAAAGGCCTGTAAAATCAGTATTTACGTTGTCCAGTTTGGAGTCCGTAAGGCCCGGTTTAGACGGCGAACTTTTCATGCGCCGAATCTAATTGTCGTAGATACGGCAAAATATCGGAAGCTGATTTAGACGTCGAACTTAATTGTACCGTACCAAATTGCGAGGACACGATATTGGACATATTTACAATGCAAATATATGATAATCATATTATGATGTTAAAAAATAATTATGCATTAGGTTCGGCGCATGAAAAGCACGGCGTCTAAATCAATGTCGAACCTGTGTCGCATATACGATTTGTCTTGTCGCATCTTCGAGTCATGTCGAGACTTAATCAAAACCTGTCGAACTTAATTGATTTAGACGCCGCTCCAGCGTCGCACTTAATTCTTGCATTAGATTCGACGCATGAGAAGTTCGCCGTCTAAACCGGGCCTAATATGTCGTGTTTTAGTGTTAGATGGATGGACTTAGTATGGGATTCTAGTTCTGTTGTCCAATCCTTCAATCATAGCTGTATGTGTATATAATATGATTGTAAAGTTAATAAAAAAATAATTAAAAAAAAAAAGAAAGGTTTCATGAAGCGTGACACTGTAGGTTAATGTTACAGTAAATTGAATTTTACAGTATGTTAAGCATAAAAAACCCACCCTTGTCATAAACATTTTAAAGATTAAATTGATATAATTTTTTAATTATTTGTTCAGTTGTAAAATCCGCCCCCCCCCCCCAAGAAAACTAAAAAAAGGATGCCCAACTTGGCCAGAGGGGCCCCGGAATGCTGGAATTGCGGAAGGTGTTAAATATTTAGGAATTTTCTGAAAAATTTAGGTCGGAAAAGATCTGGAAAAGTATTTTACAGCCCCCAATTATCTAAAATTAGTTTTTGAAAAAATTTTGGGGACGTTTTGTCTTCGGAAAAAAACCGTTGGTCAATGTTTGCTTTCCGGAAACATTTTTTGAGGGGGGGCCTGAAAGGAATAGAGCCCAATTTTTTTAATTCACTCCCCCCTCCCACACCAAATACCTCTAAGGACGGCCCTGTTTAAAATTATCTTGTTGCAATGACAACCACTTCAAGATACTTCATGTCTGAAAAATTTAGTTGGTTGGTTAGCAGTAACAAAATTGTCATTGTATGCAAATCGTATATGACTTTCTACTTTTGGCAAATGACCACTTTATGCATGACCACAGCTTTTGATTTATTGATGCCTTTCAACGATCGGCTGGGAGTAAACTTGACATGAAAAACGAATGTATGTAAATGTATTTTGGGCAACACAAGGCAGGACAATACCAATTCGGTGGAAAGTGGACTTTCTGTAAATTCTAGGAACTACTATCAGTGTGGACATGAGACAAAACTTGGAGTTTCAATTATGGTTGTCAAGACACTTATCAATCCGTGGCCGCGCTCTGATGGTACATACGTAGGGAATGTACCTTCCTAATACACGTTTTATAGTCCCTCTTGAAGTGAGCAAAAAATAGCATCTTTTATGTTTAAATTTATCTGGGAAAATGGAATAAAAGATATCAAACAAATCACGGTGCAAAGAACGATACAGGAAGGTGGATTCGGACGTATTCCAGACGTTTGGCTGACAATTCAAGCCACAATGAAAGCGAAATGGGCTTTATAAAGATAACCGATAATACTTAAACCAGTGATTGCGCCTTATAGACAAGATATTATACTAGCATGACATTGGCCAACTTCTGTCCAGAATGAAGCTTCTTATAAGTCAGCCAACGTCCTACATTTAGACATAACGCAACTCCCGAAATGGGACCAATAGATGCACAGATTCGTTCAGAAGCACAAGGATTATTTTGATAGAAATGACAAAGAAATGGACTAAGATCACAAATAAAGCCCCCAGACCACCCCAAAGAGATACCACTCAAACAAGAGCCGAGTGGGAATGGAATGGAGAGAGTGAGAGAAAAGAATGAAACGCTATACACCATCTCGCAACAAATAAACAATGGACGTCGATCAACTGGAAAAGCCTGGAGAAGAACAGGAATTGAGATGGAGGGCCCTAACACTGGAACCTCCTGACTATAGTATACAGGCCAATTACCCATTTTTCGCGAATGAAGAAACCATGGCACATCTCCTTTTCGAATGCCAGGTAGATACTAAGTTCTGTCTGTGGCTTTGTCATTGTGCATGGCACATGGGCACCTATGCATATTTGGATATGAATTTCTAGACAATCTCTAGACAATTTCTTTTTCTAATCGGACCTTCTTTGTCGATTGTGTGTTGAAAATAAATACTTTTATAAAACGCTCGCGAAATTTATACCGATGCCTGAACTCAGCTTAATGATTGTCTTGCCTAGACTCGTCTTGCACACATTATAACGTCATGCGTGCGCACCCTCCTCCGTCTTCCCACCACCTAAATATTAATTACCTCCGCCTTAGTCCGCCTGAATATTAATTACCACAATTCACTTCCCTCCGCCCCAATTCCTATATGTTAAAAGACAAAGAAGGTCCGATTAGAAAAATATTAATTGCAGAGTTAAAGAGAAAAGGGAATCAAATGGCAACAATGATCTTCAATAGGCCGATATTTTGGGGGTTTTAATTTATTTAACTTGAAAATAAGTTCGGTTACCCCCATTTTTTATTCGTTTAGAATTCGTTTAGTATTTTGAATCATTGTTATGATTTTTAAAATTCTGTAATGCGAAAGAAAATTTGTTACGAATTACCACATTTTCCGATCTTAAAAAAATTTGGCATGACAACTCCACTTCCCTCCGCCTCACGCCGCCTCACTCCACCTTCCTCCGCCTCACTTCGCCTCCCTCGGTCTCAAAAAAGGGATCAAATGGCCCCTATATTACTACTTAAATGGGAGATCTTCCATTTTCTTGTAAACTGTAGGGAGCCACCTTGAGCAGGTAGTAAAATGTCTATATCTGGTGCGTGAGTCTCCCACTGCCTCTTGGAAGATATGTGAATCTAAGACCTGACCTGGATTGTTGGTCGGCAATGACATTGTCGATTTGTCGGTACCGGTGTGTGGGCAACAGTCAGACATATATTATACAATTATTGGACGAGGTTGAGTAAAATATCGTGATTTGTCAATGGCGAGCAGATCAATCTGCAAGCCATGCACTGACAAATCACGATATTTGTGATAATTGTGTTCAACAAGTTGAATAATTGTTTTATCATTTACTTATTCATTTTCGAAATTTTGTGGCTGCATGTCACGAAGTTCAACAAATCTGTACAATAATTGCTTTTCAAAAATCTTAAATGCGCATGCGAAATCGAGATTTTTCAATTGAGAATTGATTTCAAAAGTGCGCATGCTTAGACCATTATTTGCAGCAGTTCAGTGTATTATTCTCACAAGTTATTCGTAGGAAAATTAGCCAATCAACATTGAGAAAATGAATAAGTAAGTGATAATATGATTTATACACCACTCCCAAACACTAATGACTAGGCAATTCAAATCCTTAACTTAGAATGGCATGTACCCATTCGTTTTATACATGACATAGCAGTAATATTGTCGTCAAGAACTTTATATCATGCTTGCCGACAACCAGTTTTTCAAATAACTTTAAACCAAGCAAGGCTTGATTTCTAAATAGTTTATCTGATCGAAAGCCTCTTCTGGAGTCCAGTGACCTTCAGTGGAAGTATAAGTGTACTGTGCACCCCCATCCTATTTTTAATGCATCTGTTGTCAGGATAAGGGCCGGCTTCCCATAATTAGCTCACCACATTGTAGGCTATTTCTACTGAATCAACCCACCATTTAAGGTCTGCCATCGCTTGAAGGGGTAGAACCATGGTTTATCAATTTCCAGCCACATATAGTGCAAGAGGTCGTACATTGGAATAGAAATAGTCATGATATATATATAGTAAACGAATTGAGGTGAATATACCAAAGAAAACAATTTGTTGTGTGAGTTGTTAGTAGTAGTCATTAGACTGGGTTAGAAACTAAAACTAACCACATATTCCTAAACAATGTTATTGTACCTTGGATTATCATAATTATTTCATTGTGTGCATGAGAGTCATTGATGTACCCCACTGATAAAATGTCATGCAACTTGGACCACCTGGTTAGATCTAAAAAAGATATTTTTAAATTCGCATCCACAAAAAACCCACCTACTATAAGTGCGAAAGTTTACCAATTAAAATCGCGTATTTTAGTGTTAACTATACTATTTAACTACAAAATAGTATTTAAAAAGTATAGCTAAGAGCTAGGTTTAAATCCGGCTCCTGATTTTCGTCGATTTTAATAGCAATTTAGTTCCATTTAAATTCACCAAATATAGAAAGGCGGTAGTAAGGGGACAGTTCCTACCCATGCGTGGAATTTGCAATCACTAACGAGAGCAAATGCTAGCTACTTCTTTGCCAGTAAGAGAGTTGGTGGTCTCGCATTCGAAGATCCAACGATTGAATCAGACTTACAGGCGATTGTTTAGGCCATGCAAATCCTTTCTTCAAATGACGAAGCGGTTGCCAAGATTGCTCGAGAAGAACTGAGAACCTTCATGCGAAGAACTGCCCAGTCCAATCCAACAGCCGAACTAATAAATATGAACTATTGTTGAAGGATTTTGTAGATGGAAATTTCGCCAGTGTACGTAAATTTTATACATTTATTTAGACCTATAAGCGAGGAGTAACTGCGGTTCTGTTGCAGGGCCCTAACCAACTGAGCTTCAGAGACGGGTTGTCGAGCTCTAACCGCACGTTCATGTTGATATTATACTAAGATGATGCCATGATAAGGTTTATGAGTAAATATCAATGCAGGCATAAACTGCCGGAATCTATCTACTGTATAAGGTGAGGATAGTCTGCAGTAGGGAGATGTTCGTAACGAGAGGTTCAATTGTAATTGAAAGACATCTAGAGAAACCAGTAGAAGGCATTGAAATTTTTGCTGAAAATGTATAGGAAATGAGTATGAACGAATTGCGTGGAGAAAATTCATGTGCTTCGGAACAAGTGCTAGAATATCAAAGGGATTATGCGATTCAATCATGGCAATGCATGGATGATACCTTATAGTTATACACCAGTGATGACGTTGAGAACTATTGTCGTTTCATTTGTCGCAGCGTAAAAAGCAGCGACAAATGTCTACCTCGTGCGAAGTATAAGAAGTCCATCAAGCCCTACTGGAATAATGAACTCAAGCGATTAAAGACAGCTTGCATGGAGCTTCATAAGAAATGGACCTCAGAAGAACGTCAAAGCCGAGGAGAACAATATGAAAGTTTTCGGTTATACAAAGATGCCAAGCGTCTATTCAGGAAGGAACAACGTAAAATGGTACGAAAGACAGAGGAAAATGAAATTATAGTTTCTGTGTGAAGAATTCAGTGATGCAGTGCATGAAATTCATCAAGTGAACTATTTGTCAGCATATTAAAATTCAAAATACAGTGTTGCTTTTCCAGCAGCCTTAAAATGCTCTGTGCTGTTTCTGTTAACAACTAAACAACCCGCTTCCGCCAATTCATTGGAAATTCTTCATATTCCTGGAAAACAAGTTACTCCTTGACCTCATCAATTATTTATAGTAACAAATTCGGCGTCTCCATGCATTTGTTCATTGACTTAACAAGCGAATCGTTTTACACAATTACAGAATATGCTTCGTTGCTTATTTTGTTAAAAAATGTCCACTTTGTAATTACTAGTCGCTAGTAAATTTGCTATGTTGCGTGTGTTTATATGTGGGGCCCACAGCACTGGTAAAACTACGTTATTAAATCGTTTACTTTCAGAACCTGATCAAAATCAACTTCGCGCCGTGAATGAAATAGCGAGAAACATAATAGCAGAAAATGGATGGCAAAAGAAAGATTTCGACCCGAGGATAAATCCTCATATATTTTATGATCTTCAGGTGAAAATTTTACAAGCCCAGTTACGTATCGACGAAGAGTTATGCAATGAGAATACATCGTATATCAGTGATCGTGGACTGGATCCGATTATATATTGCCAAATGTATCTAGATGAAGAATGGTTTCACAAGATCATGTACTCTAAAGAAGCCAAGGAATGTGTTAAAAGGTAACAAACTTGGGGTGTTCAGAAAGTACTCGAGTCAAACATAGTCGGAATATATTCGACATCACTACATTGTCAGTCAATTGCTAATTATATCCTCGAGTTTTAATTCTCTTACAATGACATCACTTTATCAGTACCTAATCCTGCTTTATCGGCCTTCGTAATTCAAACCTATATAATTATATAGTACCTCTTGTATACATAACGAGGCAGCAACATTGAAAACAAACTCGGAGATCTAAAACATAGTCAAACTGTCAATTCACGTAACTCCCCTCCGTTTAATCATTCAACATTCGATATTCATTGTGCGGTTGACATATCACTATCAGATATGTAACCTTTGTGCCACACATTACACAACATTCACTACAAACAATTGCAAGAGACAAAAACAAAGCCTTATATTAAGCGAAACCCATTGCAAATATGATCTATTGATTCGTCAAAAACTATGCCAGTATAAATTCAGTGTGCATTAAAACCTAGAGATGGAAATGTTTAGGCTTGGCAAGATTCGTCGACCATGCCTTTCAATTGTATCAAAATCAGCAGGGGAGCTTAAGTCTTGTACAAAATAATGTCAATAAAAGACTTCAATTATATAACTCAATTGAGTTTTTCCAAAGAAAATCCGGTTCTTGATCATAAAAGACGATTACTATCGTAACATATACCTTTTAAACAAAATTAAGTAATAATGCTTCTATCACATGCAACGACTTCTTCAAGCATCAAAAAAATTAATTCCAATTTTTGCAGAGAGATAAATAGATACAAACTCTCTTCTATCCTTAGCAAATGTTGCGATTGTTGGAGCACTATTGGGGGTGAATCTTAAACCATTTGCAGCTGAATTAATGGAGCGTAGCATTATACCTTAGCCTGCATAGCAGCCTCGAGTTTATTCTTCGATTTATTTTCGGAATGTTATATTCGGTCTTACGTATGTTCGGCGACGTTTTTGCCTGTTTTCAAAAGAATGAAGTTGAGGCCGTGTGTAGCTATGACGTTTGGTCCAGTAATTTTGCAGCTCAAACGTCTATCAAACTAAAAACAATTTGGATATAGAACAAGATAAAACGTAATAAAATACTCTAGTTTCAAATGTCAAGTGGCAGTGTTTAATATATTTTCTAAAGAAGAATATATATTTATTTTAAACCCAACGCAAACGGTAGATTTTACACAAAATCAAAATAAATGTAAATTTACAGTTTCACAACCCTGACTTACCTCCAGATAATTCCTGAATTAAATATTGCAACTACACGAAAACTAAATTATACATTTGGTTCATGTACAGTAAATTTTGGGTCAACCGCGAGCTACGCGGCCTACACTCCAAATTAATTGCTTAATTTGTCGAAAGTGTATTCAACAACAGCTTTAAATTTAAAATGATTGTGGTATAATTACCATTTTGTACGGCTTTTCATACGGAAGTTTGTGACAGCAGAGCATATGCGCATCAGTATTTGTTCAGTCATGAATATGCTTATATTTGTTCAGTCCTGCCAAATCTCCGAAGAGGAAACCAAATTTTGTAAGAAATATGTCCCAATATGTCCCTTACTGCTTTGAAGGGGGGAGGGGCAGTGGTGTAGTGGAGGGACGCCCAAGGGGCTGAGCCCTCTTGTTAAACTTGGGGAGGGGGGCTCAGCCCCCCCCCTATATTTTTGCACGTTGCATAATCTTAACAACGTCAAAATACACACAAAAAAATCAGTAAACGAGAATGTTCTTTAGAACTGCATCTCATTTTCAGTCATCATTTAACATAATAATGATTTTTGTAATCTTTACTTAATCGCGTTGTTCCTGCGCCGTAACAAATTGGCTGTTGAAATACCGATCCTGTTTTGTCTGATTTAACCTCTATCCAGGGCCGTAGCAACCGGAGGGGCTGCACCTCAATAATTTGCTAATAATCGTTCTTTTTTTTAAGTCATGCAAACCTTTATCATTTAAATAATATACCTTTAAAACGCTGACAATTGATTAATTTTAAGCGGCTACATTATCCATGACAAACTGCAAAGAATGAAAATATCACCCATAATTTCCTCAACTTATCCAATATATAGTTAATTAAATACGCTTTCGCCCATTTAGTACTACTAAATTGTAAATTTCGAAAAAATTAAAAACGCTGTTTTCTGACCATCAGAATTCTGTCAAATCTTCCCCAAAGTCCAGGAAATGGCATTTCAGAGACTCTAAATTTAAACATTTCCTCGGGCCTTCGGCCCTCGCTCGCCTCGTGCAAGGGTCCGTCTGTCCTTTTGAGTTACTATAAAGAAGTATTTGTAGTAACTCACAGTTTATCTGTTTCCTCCTTTAAGCGCCAACTCCACATTCAAAATTAGATTCTACTCTCGATGTCGACATGCAGAATCCGCACTTGCAAAACTTATATTATTGGTTTAAATCCCGTTCTTAATCTTATCATTTAAGCTGTTATTCTTAAATTTCTAAACATGTAATATGTCCTCGTCTTTATAGTTCTGTGATTTTTGTCTTTTCCGTATTTTGTCTTTTTCTGTGATTTTGTATTCACAAGGGACCCATGTCCTGTTGACCACATCATTAACCATACTTTTGATATGTATAAACATTTCCTATTCTTATGGTTGTAAAGTTATTTCATATTCGTATGGTTGCAAAGAAAATAAATAAATAAATAAGTAAATAAATAATGTATTCACAGGAATATGTCATATATGTCAAATCATGAATCAGAAATATTTTATAATTTCATAATTCAATTGTACTGATAAATTCAGCCAGAACCTTGAAACCCAAGCTTGTAGTAGAAAGAGGAGGGGGAAGTGACCAAGAGGGGGGGAAGGGACATGTAAAGCAGCCTCCAATATTAAAGAGGGAGGGGCTAACTTAGTTAATATTGCGACAGCTGCCCCAGGCGCGTAGCCAAGGGGGGGAATGGGGGGGTCCGGACACCCCCCCCCACTTTTTGTAAAGATCAATATTGTAATTCTTCCAAATATGAGAAGAAACTGGGGGGGGGTGTGCAAGTTGCAAATATTTTTCAAGAAATCAATTGTCGTCATTAAATTGAAATAATTGCGTATTTGCGTTCGCAGGCTATCCAGTATGTTATGTATAGCTTAGTTTGATGCAACGCTTCAAAACATCTTCAAAGAGAAGAAATATATTTAGTGACTGCTGTAGATGCGGTAACGTCGCTAATCGCTAGATTTTCTTCTTCCGGAATGAGGAATAATTTGCCGAGTTTGTGCGTACTGCTGAATCCAAGGCAGTCGAATTTCACGTTGAAGATTAGAGATCCCAGTAACAAACGCCGTAGAACGCTTCCAAATCGTCTAGCTGATGGACCGTTGATGAAACATTGCTTGATGTATCATTCAGTCACCACGTTGCCTCAACTCAAAACAGCACAACAGTGTCAGCAGAAAGTAAATTTCGTACTGATTTTTACTATTGTCTGCTTGATCTGCTGCTGAGGGAGCTGAAAAGGTGATTTTCAGTATTGGTACAATTATCTGCATTCAACTATCCAGCGCGTTGGAATGATAATAATATAGACTTTACTATTTAGGACGGCAACACGACGGCAACGGCTACCAATACAATAAATTATTGAAAAGAATCGAGTAATTACAATATATGAATAATTTAGTCATCGCTCTGTTTACAACGCGAAATCACAGATTTTCACGTCTTGATACAACGGCTGCATTTGAAGCCGCAACAAGTGCAACTTCAAACTGGGGTGAAAGAACCATTACCTTCTAAGAACGCAAAGAGTGGTGAAAGAACCATTACCTTCCATTAATATTAAAAGAACTTAATATTAAAGAAGTTTGGTGAAAGTGATTACGCTGGCCTTTACCTAAACCTTCACAGAATCAAACCTTTACCAAATCGTGTAACCAGACGCTTTAGTTCCACATCAGGACTCCTTCTTCAGATTACCAAATCAAAAACAGTAACCTTTCAAAACAGTTTTTGTATCAGAGCATGCAGAACGTGGAACACTCTACCAATATCTTTAAGAAACTTAACTTTATTGTCTTCGTTTAAACGTTGTCTATTTAATTACTATTTTTTATTAACTTCTATTGTTTATAACTCAGAATTGCCGCACACATACAAGACTGTTTGTGTCAAATGTCACAAAGCCCGTCCTTTGGATTCACTCAGTGACACTTTGTGCTGCTAGTGCCCTTTCTTTATATTATGTGATGACTTTTTGTTGTTTTTTGTTGTGATGCACTATTTAGTGTTTAACTCTTTGTATACAATATTTCTATGTATTTTACAACTCACGCGGGGAACCCGTTATTGGAGCTTCGGCTCTGTGGGTGCGCCCTTCCTGTTTTTGGGTAAATTAAATAAATAAATAAATAAATAAATGAATCATTTGTACATTGCAGCCATAATTCCGATTGCAATAGCTTCGTGCAAAAGATGCCTCAGCAAAGTTAAAATTATCAACAATTAATTACACGAGGGCAACCATGTTAGTAGCGAAAGAGGTGTAGCCGTCTACTAGCCGAAGATATTAAGTTGCATTCTCTTGTCGATAGATTTGCTTTGAAGCCTAGAAAACTTCCACTATCATATCTAAAAGTTAGATGAAAGCGGTTATATTCCTCAGTGAAAACGGAACACAAATTAGGTTCCCGTTCGTGTAAATGTTGTATAATACGTTGTGCATGTATCGTTTCAAAAAGAAAGTGATTTTAAAATGCATTAAAGCATTTCTCAACTTAGTAACAAGTTCTTAAAACTTTCTTTATCTACTAATTTGACGTGTCATATTATTACTATTAGTTTATTACACACATGCTTTGTTAATGTATCTCGTAAATATTTCATCTATGGCATAAAATTTACCAAATCTGTGGCATATAGATCACCAAAA